TGCGGACCCAAGGGCATGGGAGATCTTTCCACTTTCTGGTGTCTTCTTCAATTTATTTCTTCAAAGATTTAAAGTTTTTGTCATACAAGTCTTCTACTTGTTTGGTTAGAGTTACTCCGAGATATTTTATGCTATTTGTGGCTATTGTGAAGGGTGTTGATTCTCTGATTTCTTCCCCAGATCTTTTATCATCTGTGTATAGGAGGGCTACTGATTTTTTTTTTTTAGTTAACCATGTATCCTGCTACATTTCTGCAAGTGTTTATGAGTTGTAGCAGTTCCTTGGTAGAATTTTTGGGATCACTTATGTAAACTATCATATCATCAGCAAGCAATGAGAGTTTTACTTCTTTTCCAATTTGCATCCCCTTGAGCTCCCTTTGGTGTCTTATTGCCCTAGCTAGGACCTCAAGAACTATATTGAATAGATATTGAAAGTGTGGACAACCTTCTTTTGTTCCTGATTTCAGTGGAATCACTGGAAGTTTCTCTCCATTTAGTTTGATGTTGGCTGTTGGCTTGCTGTATATTGCCTTAATTATGTTTAGGTATGTTCCTTGTATCCCTGCTCTCTCCAAGACCTTTATCATGAAGGGATGTTGTATTTTGTCAAAATCTTTTTCAACATCTAATGAGATGATCATGTGGTTTTTATTTTTCAGTTTGTTTATATGGTGGATTATGTTGACAGATTTTTGTATGTTGAACTATCCCTGTACCTGTGGGATGAAGCCGACTTGTTCATGGTGGATGATGATTCTGATGTGTTCTTGGGTCCGATTTGCAGTATTTTATTTAGTATTTCTGCATCAATGTTCATAAGTGAGATTGGTCTGTAATTCTCTTTCTTAGTAATGTCTTTCTGTGGTTTGGGTATCAGGGTAATTATAGCCTCATAAAGAGTTTGGCAATGTTCCTTCTGTTTCTATTGTGTGGAACAATTTGAGGAGTATTGGTACTAGTTCTTTGACAATCTTGTAGAATTCTGAGCTGAAACCATCTGGTCATGGGCTTTTTAGATTTATGTTTTTTAATTTTTATTGAGAATAATAAATTATTCTCATATATAATACAATCACAACCATGGTTTTCCCTACCTCAACTACTCCCACCTCTCCCCACTTCCATACTCCCCCAAATCCACACACACCCCATTTCTTCTTCAGAAAAGAGCAGACTTCCAAAAGATGGCAGACAAACAAGAGGAGATACAATAAGACAAGGCAAAGCCCTTCTATTGAGCCTAGACAAGAGAACCCAATAAGAATCCCAAGAATAGGCAAAAAAAAAGTCAGAAACACCCCCTAACTCCCACTGTAAGGAGTCCCACAAAAACACCAAGCTAGCAGCCATTGCACATACACAGAGGACCTGGAGCAGAACCATGCAGGCCCCATGCTTGCACATTTTAAAGCTACTTGGAGGTGGCATTTCTATTAGTCACCACTGTATACACCCAGACCTGACCACAAGTGTCAAGGACTGTGGGATTAGGATGAGGCCACGTGAAGAACAGATATAATAGGCAGTGGGAGCTACATGCTGGCCATTAGGGAGGTGATATCCTTCAAATGGCCTAGATTTTCTTAAACTCTTCAATATCTAAAAAGTTGTAGGCTGTTCTATAATTTATGTACCAGTAAGGATGAGATGAATTATGACATCAAAGAGGTCAAAAATAGAAAAAGAGCAGGCCTCCCAATGATATCAACTGAATAGAGCAAGGGAATGGAAGAGGACAATCTGGGGGAAAGGGGGATGGGGGTGTGGAGAGTGTAGGTTGAGAGCAGTGGAGGAGTGGAGACTACTGCTGGAATGTATGGTGTGAGAGAAGAAGAAAAAAAGAAAAAAGATACATCTAGAGGTGACGATGTCAGAGGAGCAGAAGGTGGCAATTGAGCTTCGGGAGGTTGGCTCACCACCATGCAAGAACATGATGGGTAAATCTTGGATAGGAAAGACCCCAAGGGCTTCAGCTTCAGAATGTCTGTTGCCACTGCTGTGCCTTTACATGTTTGCTGCTGCCATTTTTCTCTGGTATCTGGCCTGGTGTGAATGGGTGGGGGGCGGGGATTCCCACTGCCTTTAATGTAGTATGATTATTTCATGGAAATATCCCATTCTACTGGACATCTTTACCTGTGGATTATTATAAAGATGATTTCTTCTTCAGCTGTACTGTTTAATTGAAGTAGTGATTCTATACAACATTAATGTTAGTTTAAATAAAAATTTGATGATTGAGGGTTTTTAACAAATATATTATGATTATAATAGAGGTTAGTTTGGTGAGAAAATTAGTATAAGTAACAGTGTTATCCTTACCCCTGATAAATCAGGGGCTACAAAGAATAGAAAACAGGAACATGGAAGTATAGCCATATAGACTATGGTTTAGGTTAATCATTAGGAAAACAATGGAATCCCATGAGTTAGTTCAAGAGCTTTTTGATATTAGGAAATGTGTTCACAGGTTTCAGTGTGAATCAGAGCTAAAACAAAGCTTTAAACACTTGATTTCTTGTGACTAGAAAACAAAGAAATGGATGATATTATGACCTGGGTCTGAAAAAGCCTGAGTTAAAACCGGTCTCACTGAACATAGCGGACAATGAGGACTACTGAGGCCTCAAGAACAATGGCAATGGGTTTTTGATCCTACTGCACGTATTGGCTTTATGGGAGCCTAGGCAGTTTGGATGCTCACCTTACTAGACCTGGATGGAGGAGGATGGTCCTTGGACTTCCCACAGGGCAGAGAACCCTGATTGCTCTTTGGGCTGACGAGGGAGGGGGACTTGATTCGGGGAGGGGGAGGGAAAGGGGAGGCGGCGGTGGGTTAAGAGACAGAAATCTTTAATAAATAAATAAATAAAGATAATTGTACAGTACTCTAAAATATGAAAAGTGAAACAAGTAACCTGTTTTTGGGGCAATTATAAAAAAACTACTGCCTTTGTAAATGGTTATAAATGAAAAGCTCCTGCTCAGTGAAAAGCCTAAAAGGTAAATGTTTAAGTGTGGATTTCTCAGAAAATTCGTAAAGATGCAGTTAAAAAAATGTATTGGGATCAACTTACCCCAGAAAAATATATTTTTATGATGAAAATGAAGTAACTCTGTAACTTTAGGTTATGCAGAAAATCCTCTTTGTGACAAACTTGGTGTGGGGAATATTTTTAAAAGTGTTTAAAAAAATAAAGAGAAGATAAAAAGATGATAGAGAGACCCTGGAGGGTGTGTGTGTGTGTGTGTGTGTGTGTACATATTTTCTTTTTTTCGCCAGCCCCAGAATTAAGTTTTATTCCCTCAGATAGAAAGGTCAATTGAGTGATTAGTCAGAGACTCTGTGGTTCCCCTTCAAATCCTGAGCTGTAGAAGGCTGATCCTCACAGCAGGCATCTAGGAACCAATGAAATAAAGTAGAGACAAGGTGGCTTCCAAGTCATTATGTAGACAAAGATGGCCTTGTATTTATTCATTAAAAGACATATAGAGTTTCTTTGTGCACAAACAGTTCTTTTGCTTTGCTTTGCTTTGTTTTGTTTTGTTTTGTTTTGTTTCACAGCATCTTATATACCACAGGCTATCCTCCAACCTGACTATGTTGCAGAGGATAACCCCAAACTTCTGATCCTCCTACTCCCACTTCCCAAGGGTAGCAATTTCAGGCATGCCCCACCATACCTAGTTTATGTGACGCTAGGGATTGACCCTGTAGCTCATGTATACAAGGCAAACATTCTATCAGCTGAGCTACATGCCTCTGTTTTATTCTATTCTTTCAATAATTCTGAATTATATTGTATAAATCAGTCCTTCAAACACACAAAGATACAAAATAAAAGCTTAACCAAAGGCTGACTCCCAAAGGATTGCAATATTATCAGTATTATAATAAAGCTTTGTACATAAGACTGAGGATGCTTCGTTGCTGAGGAAAAGGTAATTCACTCCATTATAGCCCAAAGTGGAATCTGACAACTGGAGAAAGACAAAAGGTAGGGATAGAGAAATCAGAGGGATTTCTATAACTTAATCCCAAATTCAATTTATTAGATAATTCACTAGTATGTGGTAACTATGAGAAAATCAAGGACAAAATAGCAAGAGCTATATGGAAGTCAATTCATGCAGAGTAAAGGTTTACATTTACTCTTAAATGATCATTTAATATTTTGTTGTTAAACTTTCCTTTTTATAGTCGGGTTTGGTGGTGTGTGTCTCTAATCTCAGCACTTGGGAGGTAGGATGAAGAGAATCAGGAGTTCAAGGACATCTTCGCCTAAACAGTGAGTTTGAGGTCAGCCTGGGCTACAGGAAATGTACTCTTGTATACACTGAAACTCCCCCCCAAAAAAAGTTTTCTTCTCCTATGAAATGAGGATAATTATAAATATTTGGAGTTTTTAAGTATTATGTTGCAAGAAAGACTCAAACAAGAAAATCCAAATGGATGTCAAATGTTGCAAGTCTCATCTATTTCCTTTTTGAAAACACACAGATCGATGAAATTATCAAACCTAGTAATAGTACTAGGGTATGACAGTTAATGTTTGTCTTTTTTTGAGCCTTTTAATCCCATGAGTCAACACTGTACAAAGACCTTTCCTGCAATAAAAAAAAGTTGATCGTGCAGCGGCATCCTGACAGAAAAGGGGGAGCCTGGCAAAGTCTGGGCTATTCCCACCAGGCTCTTCCCATAAAAGGACAAGAGCCTCACCTGGACCACACCAGAGACTCTGCAGAGAGAGAGGGGCTCATCTCCACTCAGCAGACAACTCTGAGTGTCTGGCCAGGTACGGAGGGGTAGGGAGTTGCTGTCAGTGGAAGAAGGAAAGTGGACTCCAGCTCGGGTCTGCTTTAGGGCCCAGAGATACAGGGAGTTTAAAGGAAAGGAAGGAGCCTTTAAGTGGAACTACATAGGAGCTGAGACAGGGATGGGGGAAAAGATGGTCTGGATAGAGAATGATCTTCTTCTTGCTTTTCTCTAGGTGACCATGATGAAACTCGGCTTCCTGCTGTTTATTGTCGTGGCCACCAGAGGGTACCCTGGTGAGTCTTGATACAGGACCCCAGATTCCTCTGGTCACCTCTAGCTTTAAAGAGAGTCATCTCTAGAGTGGGTTACTTCCAGGAACTTGGTCTCTAAGGACCAAAGACCATGCTTTTCTTGATGTTGTCTGTTTATTGCTTTTGGAGACAGGGTTTCTCTGTGTAGCCTGGCTGTCCTGGAACTTGATCTGTAGACCACGCTGGCCTCAACTCAGAGATCTCCCTGCCTCTGCCTCTGGAGTGCTGGGATTAAATGCGTGGATCACCACAGCTCGGCAGATGATGCCTTTTTAAAAAAAAAATAATAATAATTTTGACTCTGGAGTTCTGAGATTAAAGGCATGGGTCACCACAGCTCAGTTAATCATGCCTTTTTAAAAAATAACAATAATCTCGAAATTAAATAAGATGGCATTATTTTTCCCATTCCTTTTTCTTCTTCCAACATTTCACAATTATAACGCCCACCTCAATACAAAAAAAAAAGGCCTCTTTATGTTTAATTGTGGATATATACTCTTTCCCGAACATGTAAATACAATCTAGTCAATCGCCCATATTGATGATGCCTTTAAAATGTAAGCTGGGAGCTGACTGCCTCATGAAAGAATTGGGCAGTGGTAGTGAGACTTTGAGATATGCGCTGGTCCAGATCCTGTACTTGTGTGTAGCTCTAGGGGAACTTCTGCAAGAACTGGGTACCATCCTAGCCACTCCTTATGCTTAGGACCTTGACCTTGGGATTTCATTGCCAAGTGAATGATCTGCATTGTGCCCAGAGAATGTTTACTTCAATTCCGCTCTCTACAAGAAGCCGAAATTATTTTAAATGTGTAATTCCTCTCTGCTGCGTTTTCAGTAATTTTAAGGAAAAGGCAAGTCCCTAAACGCCATTTTATTTGATCTTTGCAAGATAATCTTTTTTCAGCTTGAATTGCACCATAGGGAACTGAGGCACAGACACAGTAAGTATAACCCAAAAATACGTGACTTGTACCCATGGAGCTACTTACACATAGGTAGAACTGACCCCAAAGTTCTCTTTTGTTTCTACCCTTCTAGGTACTCAGGTTTGCAGAGTTGAGGCTAATTTGCAAGGGTTTTTATTCCATGCTCTCTTGGTCAACCCTCTGCACAGCTGCCCTCACTTCTCGTGCTCCAGGCACATTAGGCTCCCTGCATTTCCTCTACCTGCAAAGCTGGGCTTCACTTTATTCTTCTTTTTCAGGACATTGGGCACAAAGTTCTCCATGCCTTCAAATCTCTTATCTTTATTCCTAGTTACAAATAATGTTGATTCTCAGAGAGAGGCTTTGAGAAGTCGTGGAATGAGTTTAGGATGAATGACAGGGGAGGCTGGGTGTCCCATGAGAGTGAAACTCTGCATCTTCTCTAGTTAAAGAGAACCCAGACACCAACAGCCGGGCCAATCCTGTGTCTTCCTCTCTGTTCAGAAGCTGCAAGGAAATCAAGAAGGAGGTCACTAGGGCACGAGGTGAGTGATGAACATTTAAAGAGCACACTATGATCCTAACACTTCAGAGCCTACGGCAGAGGATTGAAAGCTCCAAGCCAGCCTGGGGAGACCCTGTCTCAGAAATGCATACACATAACTCAGCTAGGAAATCAGGCTTTTGTCCCATGGGACAGCTTTTCTTTTTTGATATAGAAAATGTGATAGAGCTGGGCGGTGATGTCACAGAGAGACCCCATCTCAAGGGGAAAAAAAGAAAAGAAAATTTCATAGAATGTACATAATGGATAAAAATTGCACTTAACAAATATTAAGGAGTTTTAGTCAAGAGCAACTTTCAAAATGGTAGGGATCACCACTATCCATATCCAGAAACTTTTCATTCCTTAAAAAAAATCTGTAGCCACAAAATAATAAATTCCTGTGTTCCCTGTGTGCCGCTGTCTGATTCCTACGTCTATGAATCTGACAATTCTTGTTACATCATCTGAGTAATCTGCCTTATTTCATTAACATGCTTCGCAGCTCATATGTGCTGTAGGAGAGTTCATTTATTTTTAAAAGATTGATTATTATTAGTGTGTATAGTATGGGAAAATGTGTGCATGTGTGTGCAGGTACATGCAGAGTCCAGAACAAGCCATCCATCCACTCTGGAGCTGGAGTGACGGGCACTTGTACACTACCCGGTGTTAGTGCTGGGAGCCTGACTCAAGTCCTCTGCTAGAGCAGTACTTGTTCTTAACCATGGAGTCGTTTCACCAGCCCACTTCAGTCTTTTTTATGAATTCTTTCAGTTCTTGTGGCCAGAGCTGTAACAAACATGAATGTCCATATCTGAGTCCCTGTTTCCAGTTCTGTGGACATCTACCGACTTATTGAGGGGAGTTGCTAAGTCCTTGATAATACTGTGTTTAACTTTGGAAAAGAGACATCACTAACAGTTTGGGTAATCCCATCTTAAACCTCAGTCACAGAAGCATGGCTTTCTGAACTCAGGCCCAATCCCAGGAACACCTGTGGTGGGACACTCAGGGTATGAGGCTTAGCTTTGTTTGTGGTCCCTAGAGACATTCTGTTTCCGGAGCAGAGATGGACAATGAGCCTGCACACAGGACTGTGGACTGCTTCTCTCTACAGATGGCCTCTATTTCCTTCGCACGGAAAACGGTGTCATCTACCAGACCTTCTGTGACATGACCACTGATGGTGGTGGGTGGACCCTGGTGGCCAGTGTGCATGAGAACAACATGCGTGGGAGGTGCACAGTGGGCGATCGCTGGTCCAGTCAGCAAGGCAACAGAGCAGACTACCCAGAGGGGGATGGCAACTGGGCCAACTACAACACCTTTGGGACTGCAGAGGGGGCCACAAGTGATGACTACAAGGTAGGTATACTCTGTAGCCACTTGGGAAAGCGTGAGGATGTGAGTGTAGCTCAAGCAGGCCATGGAGAGGGTGGGAAGGCTGTCCTTCAACACAGGGCTGAAGAAGTGAAAAGTGCTTATCTTGAATCTCAGCATCCTCCCAAGTAGGGTTTTTGGTAAGTAGGAGGCGAAAGTGGGACCATTGTCCTTGGAAATAATGACATCTGAACATGGCTGACCCTCTGTCCACCTGGAGCCCAGAGATACCAGCTGTGCTGGACACTGTGCATGAAGGTCTTCTGCTTAGCGAAATCTTCTGTCTGGTCAGGCTCAGTGTTGGTTGCTTTCCAGAACCCTGGCTACTTCGACATCCAGGCTGAGAATCTGGGGATCTGGCATGTGCCCAACAATAGCCCCCTGAAAAATTGGAGGAACAGCTCCCTGTTGCGGTACCGCACTTTTACTGGTTCCCTTCAGCTCCTGGGCCATAACCTGTTTGGCCTGTACCAGGTACTGGAGACTACTGGGTGTGGAGAGAGAGGCAGGTGTTTAAGATTGGATGGGTTGTATTATGTCTTTCCCTAATTCTAAGTGTATTGAGCCAAGGAAGACAAGGGATAGATGTATGTAGAAAAGAGGAAAGAGAAGGGAGGGGAGGGGAGAGAATGGGAGAGGAGGCGTCTGAGATGTCAGAGAGACACAGACAAAGGAAAGGAGTCTTTCTTATCTAACTGATTTGGAAACAATCTCACTTACTGGACACATGCAGGGCTTCTCTGTGCAGGGCAGTGTTTCTGGGATTGCCAGTGCTGCCATCCTTATTCAGTGACTCCTTTTTTTTTTCCTTGTAGAAGTACCCGGTGAAATATGGAATAGGGAAGTGTTGGACTGACAATGGTCCATCGTTACCTGTGCGCTATGACTTTGGTGATGCACAGAAGACAGCATCTTATTACTCCCCCAGGGGCCAGAGTGAGTCTCTAATGCACCTCTGAACCCTCTGCAGGACAAGTGATAAACTCAGTTATGATAAGTAGCAGCCATTTACCATCCACCACAGCCCGCTTCTCTTCTGTGAATGCTTCTGTTTTGTGTTACTTCACTCAATTGATTTCCCTTGGCTTCTCAACTATCACTAACTCGTTTTTCAGCTTAGGAGACTGCAGCACTGAAGTCCAAGAACTTGTCAACGAGCACAGGGCATAAGCAGGAGAGTCAGCATTTGCACCAGGGATGAATGGTTCCAAAATCTACTCTTTGCAACATTGTTATCAGTCAAAAGTTTTTTAGGAACAAACCAGTTTCCGTGTGCACAAAGCTGAACAACAGGAAAATATGGTTTTCTTTCAGTTGTGAGGGATATCTGCCATGTTGTTTGATAGAACTGCAAATGTGGCATATAGTCTTTATAAACGCTAAGCTTGTGCTGAATAATTCAATGCTCTTCTTATTTATGCTTGAAATGTAAGGTTTAAAGAAAAGTTAGCAAGGTAAATTCGAACAGAACCAGAATGAATGCACTTGCTTACTGTGGTGACAAGCCCTGGGAGATATTCAGTAGACACCTTGCCGTATCAGAAATTTCTCCATCCAAGCTCTGACAGATGGGGACTTTTTAACAAGGACCAACTCCTGGGGTCTGTGGATGAGAATAGATGTAATTCCCCCAAGGATCTGATATTTCAGACTGTATATCCTGAACCTTTAACACCAAACTTCAGGCTGACAACTATTTCTAGCATTTTCCTTGAATGTTGTTTCCTGTCTCTTGTTTTCAGTGGAATTCACTGCAGGATACGTCCAATTCAGAGTGTTTAATAATGAGAGAGCAGCCAACGCCTTGTGTGCTGGGGTGAAGGTCACTGGATGTAACACTGAACATGTGAGTCTGTGTAGTGACCAAAGAGGCTCATGAATAAGACTGGGGTAGCAAGTGTGTGTCTGTGTTTATTGAATATAGGAGACTGCCATGTTAGTGTGTGTACATGTATGAGAGTGTGACCTTTCCCTGTGCCTTGCTACGTATCAGGGATCAGAATTTCTGTCTAGATACAGAAATCCTGTGTTGTTGAAAACTATGGTCAACATTACAAACTTCTAATGCACTGCTGCTGTTTGCTTAGCTTTCAGGATAAAGCACTCAGTCACCAGGTTTGAGGGTGACACTTGGATTCAGGAAGTTGTGTGCACACCTTTAGGGCTGAGATTGTTAGAGAGACACCGATATTGTCACTCACCACCTGGGATTTAACTATCAGAGTGAAAAATATTCTTTCTAACCATTTTCAAGACTTGTACAGGTGTTCATTGTGTCAAGGGGTTACTATGAGAGTCCTGAACATCTGGTAGACCTCTCAGGTGATTCTCTTCCATTTCACAGGGAATTTCTCTTGTTGGATGTTGGCTTATCAACTGAGCACCAAGGCAGGTGGACTCTGCTCCACTGCAGCAAACTGATGTCCCACTGAACCTGGGATCATTAGACTCAAATTGTTTTCTTTTGCTCTTTTAATACTTTTTCACCGAAAGCAAATTGAGAATAGAGTCATTTTATTGCCAGAGTGAAGTCTGTAACAAGTTAGCATGTTCTGGAAAGCATGGTAATGCATATATTCAATCCCAGCACTTGGGTGGTGAGTTTGAGGCCATCCTGGTCTAAATAGTGACTTCCAGATCAACTAGAGTTACATAGTAAGAAACCATTTCAAAAATAAATGGCATGTTCTTTTGGGATTCAGACATCTGTAAAATAACAGTCTGAGAAAAGGGTCATCAGCTCCTGGCAGATGATTCTGAGGATTTCGGTGTCCACTTATTTCTCAGTCAGTAGCTTACCCTCATCTAGTCGTGAGGAGGCAGCTGTGCTATCAAGGAGGACCTTGGGACTGCGAAGTGGAATGATTAAATAGGGAGACTATCTGGTGTTGTACCAATAGTACCAAGCTATTTTCAGTTTTGTTAAGTAACATAGATGTGGAATACAGGAAGTGCTAATTTTGGAAATGTTAACATGGACTAGATCAGGAAACAATTTTTACATCAGACCGGTGGGTTTTGGGACTGTATAAAGTGATGAACATCACTGCAATGTTTTAACAGGTAGATACAATTAATGTGAGCATTCTTTATCTTTCAAAGATGACACTGGAAGCCTAGAGGTGACCGATTCTAATGGAGGAAAAACTAAGCATAAGGGAATAAGTATTGGCTTCAAAGGTCCAAATTAGAGCCTGATGTGATGAAAACTTGGGGGTGGGAATAAATGAGTTCCAAAGAATTTAAATTTATTAATAGTTGAACACAGACATTGGGCATTGAAGACACTTATAATGAGTATTTTTTCTGTTCCATCAGCCAACTCTCAAATGATAACACAGAGAGTTCTTAATTATGAAAGCTTGGCCTTAATTTAGGCTTGTTTCTTTTTTTAAAAAAAAAAAACACTGTAATTTGTTTATTTATTTATTATTTATACAGTATTCTGTCTGCTTGTATGCCTGCAGGCCAGAAGAGGGCACCAGACCTCATTACAGATGGTTGTGAGCCACCATGTGGTTGCTGGGAATTGAACTCAGGACCTTTGGAAGAGCAGGCAGTGCTCTTAACTGCTGAGCCATCTCTCCAGCCCCCTTTAGGCTTGTTTCTAACTAGCTCTTATAACTTAAATTAACCCGTATTTTTTAATCATGTTCTTGCTTGTTACCTCATCTTCATTATGCCTATCCTGCTTCTTCCACCTGTGGCTGGTAACTGCCTTTCTTCTTCCCAGAACTCCCCCTGTCCAGAAGTCCCATCTATATCTTCTGTCAAGACAATGCCCATTTAGCTTTTTATTAAACCAATCACAGCAACACATCTTCACACAGTGAAAAGGAACATTTCACAACAGACATTTTGAATAATTTCATGGTTTTCATTTGAGTAAGTGAATATCAAATAATAAACCAAGTTGTTTAAATGCTGAATATGTTTGGGATCAAGGTTGGATATATACTTATATGATGCTAGATTATTAAAAACATTGGTTGGATTTTGCTTGTATGTGTGCGCATGTGTATTCAAGTGATCACAGCAGTCAAAAGTGGACATTGGATCCCTGGAAATCAGAATTGGGTACTGGAAAGTTGGGATTGGGAAATCTTTTGATTAGATACTGGGAACTGATATGGATGCTGGGATCTGAACTGTGGTTCTCTGATAGAGTAGTAAGATGTCTTAACCTGGGGTTATCTCTCCAGCCTTCATGTTACTAGCTTGTTTGGAAGGGGGTTTGTTTTGTCTTGTTTCAGATGTATTTATTTAATTTGATGTGTATGAGTGTTTTGTCTACATGAGTGTTTATATATTGTTTGAGTTCTTGGTGCCCTTGAGCCAGGAAAGGGCATTCTATGCCCTGGAACTGGAATTATAACAATTGTCAGCTCCATATGGGTTCTGGAACACAAGCCTGGTCCTCTGTAAAAGCAGCAAGAACTCTTAACCACAGAGCTATCTCTCTAGCCCCAGTGTTACATGCTTTGCTCAGTGATGGACTTTGAATATGATGGGGGTCCCAAAGGATTTGTATTGCCTACTAACATCATAGTCATTCTAGCTTCTGTAAGTACAACCTGTGATGTCCACAATGATAAAGTGTCAATGAACTAATCCCCATTTATAAGTTATTTGTAGCTGTAAGTAACTGGGTTGTTGCTGTTGTTTTGTTTTGTTGTTGCCATGTGGTGTATGTGTAAAGGCCCTAAGAGTTATTATAAGTGGCAGTCCAATTTTTAAGTCTTAAATGTAAGAAATACTTAGATTAGAGCTAGGGATTTTAGGCCATAAGTGAATTGTTCATAACTAATACTAAAAGGGTAACACAAAGTACAAGAGAGTTGTAATGTGTCCTCTCTGGGAAGTAGCACTTAATGGATTCATGAACGAAAATTCTTTCCAGGAAACCTGGGGACAAAGATTTAGAGAAGTTGAAGGAAAAGTGGGAAGAGACAGTGGTGCCACTAAAGTCAATGGAAGGGGCCTTTACAGATCAAATAGAATGATACTACCAGTGGAAAGTCTGAAGAGGGAAAAAGAGTCACACTAAAGTTGGCTGTTCAGTTGTCTCTCGGCTCATCAGCTTTGTTAGTTTTTTGCCAGTGTGATAAATACGTGTAAGAAAATATAGAAAGAAGGGTGTGCTGTCTAGTTTTATGACAACTTGACACAAGCTATAGTCATCTGAGATGAGGGAACCTCAGCTGAGAAAAATGCCTCCATAAGATCAGGCTGTAGGCAACACTATGGAGCATTTTCTTAATTGCTGATTGATGAAGAAGGGTCCCGCCCATTGTGGGTGGTGCCACCCCCAGCTGGTGGTCCTGAGTTCTGTAAAACAGTCTGAGCAAACCATGAGGAGCAAGACAGAAAGTTGTACTTCTCCATGGCCTCAGTATCCGTTCCTGCATCCAGGTTCCAACATGGTTTGAGTTCCTGCCCTGACTTCCTTCAGTGAATGTATAAGCCAAATACAGTTTTTTCCCCAAGATGCTTTAATCATGTTGCTCCATCACAGCAATAAACACAGTAAACCTGATTAATAAAGGCTTTATTAATTTCATGGTTTCCAAGATTGTAAGCCATTGTCATTTGGCTCTGTTGCTTTTAAATCCATAGTGGTGCAGGAATATTATACAGGAAAGACATATCAGAGCAATTTGGCTCACTGCATAGCCACAAGGAGCCAAGAAAGACCAGGAAAGATCAGGGCAAAATACCCTTCAAAACATGCCACTCACACCTTCAGTGATCTATTTCCTCTATCCAAATACCCCACTCCTATCCCCAGTTTCACCACCTCCCAATAGTCAGTTCAAAATTGTGAATCAATCAATGAGTAGCCAATTGATGAAGGCAGAGTTGTCATATTCAAGCCTTTCCCCCAAAATCCTGCCTTTGAATGTTACTTACACTGGAGAAGAGATCTTGGGGGCATAACACCTTTGGGAGGGCACTTTATATCCAAACCATAACACCATCTGAACTCTCATTGCTACTTCCTTCCCCTGTTTTTCAGCACTGCATTGGTGGAGGAGGATTCTTTCCAGAAGGTAACCAGTGTGGCGACTTCTCTTCATTTGATTGGAATGGATACGGAACTCACACTTGGTTCAGCAATAGCCGGGAGATAACTGAAGCAGCTGTACTTCTGTTCTATCGTTGAGAACTTTGTGGTGTGGGATCCAGACTTCTCCAGTCTGTGACTTCACAAGTGCTGGAAAAAACTTATCTAGTAACTAGAATGCTAATGACACAGGAAAGAGAATAAACAATGTTCATTGCAGGCTTAGGTGTCTTCATAATTTTTTTTTTTTTTTTGTGCAAGGATGGGTGATTTCAAAAGGGTTTCTGCTGCCCTGTATGATTCTCTTGGGATATCAGGACTGTGTGTGTGTGTGTGTGTGTGTGTGTGTGTGTGTGTGTGTGTTTGCACCTCAGTATGTCTGTTTCACTCTGTGGGCAGGGGTCACACAAGCTATTATGCCATAGAGGCCAGAGGACAATTTTATAACTCAGTTTTCTCCTTCTACCCTGTGGATCCTGAGAATCAAACTCAAGTCACTGGGCTCACTGGCAAGCACCCCCACCAGACGAGCCATCTTGCTGGCCCCGCATGATTAGGACAAAGAACGAGGCCAAGATAGAAGAGAAAATTCAGGAAAGAACAGCTATCAAAAATCAGGTTATTAAGAATAGAAAAGGAAACAAGAGAAAATGAAAACAAGTAGAGAGACCACTAGCAATTTGTCATCCAGGATGTAAAAAATCTAGTTCAAACAAGATAAATACTCTTCCCTGTCCCAACATTCTTTTTAATACGTACTAAACATATTAATATGTTTTGCCTACACGTATACATGCACCATGTGTGTGCAGTGCCCAAGGAGGCCAGAAGAGGGCATCAAATCCCATGGAACTGGAGTTATAGACAGTTGTGAGCTATGAGGGTGCTGGGAACCAAACCTATGTTTTCTGCAAGAGCAGTTTAAGATCAACTTCATACACATAAGACTCCGTCAGAAAAAAAAAAAGAAGAGGTGAGAAGAAAGAGGAGTAAGAAGAGGGTGGAAAGGGAATAGGGAGATGACTTAGCCGTTACAAGGACATTTTTTTCAAAGGACCCAAGTATATACCTACTCCCTGTCCTGTATCCCTCAGGGTGTTTGAGAAGCTACCTAAGAGAGCATGGCTGGAGGTCGCATCACTCAGAGGAAGAGGTGAGAGGTCCACCTGCCCTTGCGCTCATGCCCTTGGTTCAGATCCCACCCTGCTCACATCTCTTCCCATCCCCCTTCCTGCCCCTACACCTACCTTGGGCAGATACCAGCTGCTCAGGTACAGACCAGGCCAGAACATATATGAAGCTCTCCTACTCTCGGAACCCCCACATGCAGCTTCAGATGAAATACAAAAGACCCAAGCTACTGACACACTGCTGCTCAGGTGCAGGCCACACCATTCAGAAGAGTACCAACCCCTTACTGGACCAAAGGCCATACTAACTGCAAGGAGTCCAGTCCCCAACTCTGACAAAAACTCCCTGCTTGAACAGAGTTCACATCAGCTGCCAGAAGTACAGACCACAAAGACCAGAATACCAAAGAAGAAACAGAAACGAAGGGGGGAAACACTCTTCCTACAAAGAAGATTTCAGAAATCAGCACTGTGGTAGTTTTAATGTAATTGGCCCCCATCAGCTTATAGGAAGTGGCACTATTAGAAAGCATGACTTTGTTGGAGTAAACATGGCATTGTTGGAAGAACTGTGATCACTGTGAAGGTGGGCTTTGAGGTCTTATATATGCTCAACCCATGCCCAGTGATTCAGACCACTTCCTATTGCCTGCAGGTCAAGATGTAGAACACTCATCTCCTCCAGCACCACATCTGCCTGCATATCACCTTGCCACACCATGATTAAACCTCTGAAAATGCAAGCCATCCCATTAATCTTTTTCCTTTATAAGAGTTTCCATGGTCATGGGGTCTCTTCACAACAATGGAAACCCTAAAACAGAAGTTGGTACCAGGGACTGAGGTATTGCTGTGACAGGCTAGACCATGTTTTGGTTTGGAGCAATATGGACTTTGGAAGTTTGAGTTAGAAAAAAAGTGGATACTGTAGCTCTGTAATAGAGTTTGAAGTCAGGGATGGTAATGCCTCCAGACTTTCCTTTATTGTATAAGATTGTTTTGGCTATCCTGGGTTTTTTGTTTTTCCATATAAAGTTGATTATTGTCTTCTCCAGATCTGTGAAGAATTTTGATGGGATTTTGATGGGGATTGCATTGAATCTATATATTGCTTTTGGTAGAATTGCCATTTTTACTATGTTGATCCTCCCAATCCAAGAGCAAGGGAGATCCTTCTATTTTCTGGTGTCCTCTTCTATTTCTTTCTTCAAAGTCTTAAAGTTCTTGTCAAATAGATCTTTCACTTCCTTGGTCAGGGTTACCCCAAGATATTTTATGCTCTTTGTGGCTATCGTGAAAGGTGATGCTTCTCTGATTTCCCTCTCTGTTTCTTTGTCCTTAGTGTATAGGAAGGCAACTGATTTTTTGGAGTTGATCTTGTATCCTGCCACATTACTAAAGGTGTTTATCAGCTGTAGGAGTTCTTTAGTAGAGTTTTTGGGGTCGCTTATGTATACTATCATATCATCTGCAAATAACGAAAGCTTAACTTCTTCCTTTTCAATACGAATCCCCTTGATCCCCTTATGTTGTCTTATTGCTATTGCTAGAACTTCAAGCACTATATTGAAGAGGTATGGAGAGAGTGGACATCCTTGTCTTGTTCCTGATTTTAGTGGGATGGCTTTGAGTGGGGAGAACCCAAAGAAAAACATATAGGCATCCTCCTGAATATTAACCTTCATCAGGCGATGAAAGGAGACAGAGACAGAGACCCACATTGGAGCACCGGACTGAAATCTCAAGGTCCAAATCAGGAGCAGAAGGAGAGAGCACAAGCAAGGAACTCAGGACCGCCAGGGGGGCACCCACACACTGAAACAATGGGGATGTTCTATCGGGAACTCACCAAGGCCAGCTGGCCTGGGTCTGAAAAAGCCTGGGTTAAAACCGGTCTCACTGAACATAGCGGACAATGAGGGCTACTGAGACCTCAAGAACAATGGCAATGGGTTTTTGATCCTACTGCACGTATTGGCTTTGTGGGAGCCTAGGCAGTTTGGATGCTCACCTTACTAGACCTGGATGGAGGAGGGTGGTCCTTGGACTTCCCACAGGGCAGAGAACCCTGATTGCTCTTTGGGCTGATGAGGGAGGGGGACTTAATTGGGGGAGGGGGAGGGAAAGGGGAGGCGGTGGTGGGGAAGAGACAGAAATCTTTAATAAACAAAAAATAAAATAAAATAAAAAGAACACACAATGACAATAAAAAAAGAAAAAAGAAAAAAAAGTGGAATGTTTTAAGCATTGATTAATGGACCATATTGGTAGTAACATGGAGACAGTGGTGCTAAGAGTTATTTGAACTGTTAGGGCCTGACTCAAGAGTTTTTAGAAGAAAAGAATATGAATAAGTGGTCTAGAGATTGTCCTTGTGATATTTTGGTGAAGAATGTGGCTGTTTTTTGCCCTTGTTCAAAGAGTCTGAGGCAAAAGTGAAGAGATTTAGATTATATCTGATGGCAGAGGAAATCTCAAAACAGCCTGGTATTGAATCTGTTGTGTAGCTATTACTGGTTTCTCTTATACAAATTTATAATAAAAAGACTGAACAAGGAAAAACACAAAATATACAATTTGAGGAGAAAGGAGCACCAGGAAGTGAGATGGAGCTAAGCCCTGTGTTCAAAAGGATAAATGGATTAAGAAATATAATAAAGAATGTATAACATCAGAGAAAGATCCCACTCAGGTAAGTTTTAAAACTTAGAGCCAAAAAAGGTGGTGCATGCCTTCAATATCAGCACTCCAGAAGCAGAGGCCATCTTACCAACGCAATCTACAGAATCAACCATCTCCATCAATCCCAGCATAATACTCAGTTTCATATGGGAAAACAAAAATACAAGATAGCTAAAACAGTCCTGTACAATAAAAGAACTTCCAGAGATATCACCATCCCTGATTTCAAACTGTACTCCAGAGCCATAGTAATAAAAACCACATGATATTGGCATAAGAACAGACATGTTGATAAAAACAGGCATAGAATTGTACCAAAGATCCAGATATAAATCTACACACCTGTGTACATCTGAATTTTGATAAAGAATCCAGAAATATAAAAATGGAAAAAAAAGAAAGCATCTTCAACAAATGATGCTGGTCTAACTGGATGTCAGCATGTAGAAGAATGCAGATAGATCCATATCTATCACCCTGCACAAAACTCAAGTCCAAGTGGATCAAAGACCTCAACATAAAACCAGATACACAGAACTTAATAGAAGAGAAAGTGGGGAATAGCCTTTAACACATTGGCAAAAGAAACAACTTCCTGAACAGAAAACCAACAGTGCAGCCACTAAGGGACTCAGAAAACTGAAAAGCTTCTGTGAGGCAAAAGATGATGTTCAATAGGACAAAACATCAGCCTACAGAATGGGGAAAGATTTTCACCAGCTCCACGGAGCTGACTGTGACTCCTGACAGAGGACTAACATCCAAAATATATAAAGAACTCAAGAAACACTTTAAAACTCAAGAAACTAGACATCAACAAACTAAAGGGTTCCATTTAAAAATGGGGTATAGATCTAAACAGAGAATTCTAAACAGAAGAATCTCAAATGACTGAGAAACACTTTAAGAAATGCTAAGCATCCTTATCTATCAGAGAAATGGAAATCAAGATGACTCAGGTCCATTTTATACCTATCAGAATGGCTAAGATCAAAAGCACAAGGGACAGCTATGCTTGCAAGGTTGTGAAGCAAGATGAACACTCCTCCATTGCTGGTGGGAGTGAAAATTTGTACAGTCACTTTGGAAACCAATTATGGTGAGTCCTCCAGTCTATTGGGGATCCACCTACCTCAATACCCAGCTATAACACTCCTGGGCATGTACCCAAAGGATGCTCCATCCTACCACAAGAACACTTTCTCAACTGTTTTTACAGGAGCTTTATTCATAATAGCCAGAAACTGGGAAGAACATAAATATACCTCAACCAAAGAATGGATAGAT